GACCCTACACACATACACACAGAGCACACATTAGTCGTGTGTTTCGCTCGCTGAGTGTCTCACTGACCGCCATGAAGCATCGCACGAACATCTACACGAGCGCCGCATTAGCCCACACGACTGTCGCCCCTGAAGGGCGCGCCAAGGTTGGCGTGCACGCTCAGCTGCTCGCCGTCGGGAAACTCATACGTCTGCCAACATGCCAAACACACACACACACACACACACACACAACAGACAATGCGCAACGAATGTGTGTGTGGTGTGGTGTGGTGCGGTGTGTTGTGTGGCGTACGAGTAGAATGGTCGGGTAGCGTTCGTATCCTGGCACCGGGAGGAGGCCGGGAGGGAAGACAAGCGGTACTTACTCTAGAATGTCTGCGTGCTAGACTCATTCTGGCCTTTGGGGATGCACCGCATCGCTGACGGTGCGCGAAGGAGCCTCGAGACGGCGGCGTGAGCCTACCTTGGTGAGTGAGTGAGCGGTTTCTGTGTCCTCTCTGTGGCGACGGAGTGCTTTCCAACACGCCACCTCATGCACGCCAGCTTGACCGTATTGGCCTCGTCAACCAGGTAGCTCCTCAGGTCGAAGTCGCTGCACACATTCATTCACAGACAGACATGATGTGTGTGTCTGCCTGTCAACATGTTGAATGGGTCTTTACTTGAAGGATCTGTCCATGGCCTTGAGCTCCTGGTGGGTCTCCACCAGCTGCCGCACCCAGTGGGAGGCCTCATGCTCGCTCATCGGCGCAACGCCCCGCCTCTCGATGCAGTCGTTGAGCGTGCCTAGTTACCCGGTTTGGTACGGTGTGTACATAGCGGTGTGGTGATCATCGTGTGACGGTGGATGATGACATTCGTCTTATTTGCCCTCAAGTCTCTCTGAGCAATGTCGCGGTTGAAGCGCAGGCTTTGCACACGGCAATGGGCTGACGAAGGTACGACGACACGAGGCGCCAGAGGTCATTGGAGTTTGTAAGGCCAGGGTGGACCGTCTGGCCTCGAGTGTGCCGACGCAGCAAACCAGGAAAGTGTTGCGAAGCAGCAAAGCCATCATTTTCCTGACCTCGTTGTCGACTTCGTGGGCGCTCAGGTCCTCGAACTCCAAGTAGGAAGACGACCGACAGTGATGCGCCTGAGAAACACGACACAAGACAAAACATGGATACGTGGACGGACACACACAAGTATCCTCCCTCTCTCACTCACCCCTCGGAGCCGCGCGAAGTGCTTCAGCCACTCCCGCTCGGCCCTCTCAAACATCTGCACCCTCTCCTGCAACCTGCCCATCAGGTCCCGGCCGTCATCCGCCCTGTTCTCGGTGCAGCGCAGGGTGCTCCGGGGCCCCATCCCGTCCTTGCGCGAGGAGGGGTCTGACTCGGCGGGGTGGTTGGGCTTTCGCTCCACGTGCATGTAGTACTTCTTCCCGCCGCCACAGCCCTTCTTGTCGCACACGCCGTCCCAGTTGAAGTGCGTCTACAGAATTGGGCCGTCGGGCACCTTGTGCAGGTCCAACTGCGGCACCGAGAGGTAGTCGTACGATGGGATGCTGCGCTGGAGGCCCATGGGTATTCTCTTGGTCTCGTCAGGCTGGTAGAAGAACCGCCGACGAAACTTCGAACGGAATGTAATCGCTGCCGCCCGAGATGAGGTCTTGCAAGTCAAATGCGACGCACGTCATCCTTCGTAGAGCACGAGAGGCCGCCAGACACACCCGCACAGCGGAAAGGACGGATGCGAGACAAAAAGACACACCCAGAGGTCGTCTGGCTATGGCTCTGTGGTGACACACAGACACACACACACACACAATGCAGAGCCCCATTGTGCTGTCTATCTTGTCTGCCGGAGTTGACGTACGTTGTTGAAGAACCTTGAGAACATTTGCTGCTTGACCTCCTCCGAGCCCCCCACCTTCGCCAAGTAGACACGGGCGGGGTAGAAGTTCTCCAAGAGCAGGAACTTCTTCTCGAAGTCCCTGCAGAAATGAACACGCCGATGAGGCTTCAGCGACCCCAGTGATGTCACCAAGGTACAGCGGCTTCCAATGATCAGCGCTTATCGGGTATAGCTGCGTCATCCGCTGCTTAACTTCCGGGCTGTCCAGCAACGTGTAGGCGATGAATGACGTCCAGGAGGGATACACCCCTTGGCCGCAGCGGATGGGCGGGTTGAGCTCGTCGTAGTCTCGCCAGAAAGGGTGCCACCTGCACATCTCTTCCCGTGGAACGACGCGGAATCGCTTCCCGCCAATGGTCAGCCAAGGCATGGTGCACTGCGGGTCCTCGAGCTCCACGTGTTCATAGACCATCATAGTGAGGCAAAGCGACAACGCAACGGCGTCGACCACTATGCCGAGGAATAGGAGCAGCAGCAGAGGAACTATGCTGATCCTGGGGAAGCCGTGTTCGATGACCATCCAGACGAAGCAGATAAGCACCGCCAAGATGGATAGACAAAAGAGCCAACAGAACAGCTCGACCCAGCGCTCCTGCAGCCGCTCACGCCAGTAGGTCATGAGCTTCACCTCCTCCTCACTCTCCGTCTGCTCGATGCCCACACTCTCGGATGACGTGTCGCTGCCGCCTGTCAGCATGTTCCACAGTGCCCGGACGTATCTGAGTGAGCCTGTGGTCGCCCCCCTCGGCCGCCCGTCGGATGTCGCTGTGTCGAGCAGATAACGCGCCACGAGCCACTCAGCGGATATCACCAAAGGCAGCCGGCCAGTCCTCACCGCCCCGCAGGCGGTCGCCAGCCGCACCACAGTGGCCATCTGGCGCCACCCAGCCGCCCTGTCGATTATGTGAGCGCACCGACAGAGATAGCCAAATCGGGAGAGAGACGGGGCGGCTGGCTGTGTGTCACCGGGATCCCTCTCCACATCAACGAGGCCGCTCAGCCGCTGCTGGGCGAGGCATCTGTCGATGTGGCACATCAGGAAGGCCTCATCGACGGCTTTGCTGAGCGTCCTGCTGGTCGGGCGAACCTTCACAGCATCATCCAGAGGTAAGAAGGGTAGAATGGCCGCAGAGTAGACGTCGGCAGGGAGCGGAACAGCAACAACAGGTCTCGTGAGATCTCCGCCCCTCTGAGCGTCATCCTCAGGCAGGATGGAGATGACCACAGACGAGAGCTCCTCAGTGTCGTCCGCTTCGGGGTCGACTTTCTTGTACGAATGCCGCCACCTCCGCCATCTCCAAAGGAACCACCTCATCATGACCACCCCACTGCTAGAACAGGCGATCTTTCGCGACAAAACGCTCTCTGTTTACACGGCGGCATCCCTGAAAGGTAGATAGCGACCATCTGCCCAAGCTACGCAGACCTTCCTCCATCATTGTCGTATCGCTTTGCAACGACACGGCTACCGATCGCTTCCTCGTTGATGCATCAGGCTCTCCCCTTCCCCCCTGCGTCCCTCTCGTGACCGTGCACCTCCTCCTCTCTCAACCACCGCTCTAATCGCCAGCGCCATGGTGCGAACGTCACAATCAGCCGTGCACACACACGATGAAGGATGCATCACGCATGTGTGAACGGATGGATGGATGGATGGATGCTTTGGTCACAGGAGAACGACCCTTTCCTCACCGGTGCGCAGCCCCTGCCCACCCCTCCCTCGTCGCAGGCAGGCCGCAAGCGTCGCAACCGCTTCCCGATGGGCTTCAAGGCGTCAACTTTCGGCTTCAAGGCGGTGGCGTGCCTGATTGTGGTGCCGTGGCTGCTCTACACGATCATCGCCCTCCTCTTCGCCTTCGCCTACCACGACTCGCCCCTCGCCGTCTGGGCCACGAGCTTCTTCGGGCTGGTGGCCGCGATAGGCATTGGCCTCTCTGGCCGCGTCAGCCCGGGCCGCTCCCACCCCTCCCTCAACCTGGTGCTGTCGTTCATGATGGTCGTGGCTGTGTTGGTGGGCGTCTGGAGCGGCACCATCAACTACAATCGGTACATCGCCAAGTACTGGGCCTACCAGGAGAACCAGGCCTACGCCAACGTCATCGCCACCGACAGCGCGGCCAAGTACGGCGATGCGGGCAAGATATTCTTCACAAGCGGCACGATCGTCAACACGGACCAGTCGGTGGGCTTCAAGCAGGGCACCATGTTCTGCGTGGCGCCCATCCAGGACACAAACAGCGACCCCACACAGTCCACGGCCATGGTCCAGTTCTGGGCCGTCGGCACCAACTGCTGCGGCAAGACGGGCGGCTTCCGGTGCGGCGACGCGGCCAAGAGCGGCAGCGCTCGTGGTGGTGTGACGGTGAGGATGACAAAGAGCTACAAGAAGGCGATTCACAAAGCCGAGGCCTACTGGGGCCTCACGAGCGCCAGCGAGCCCGTGCTGGTCAAGTGGGTCAAGAACCCCAACACGACGCAGGACGAGCAGTACAAGAACGGCATGGGGTTCCTGGTGGCCGGCATCTTCGTGTTCCTCTTCATCTGTGTGGTGCTCGGCGGGCTCGCCGCCATGGGGCTCAGGGCTACCAGAGACACCAACAGACACGACGGCGGCGGACAATACGGCGTCTGAAGTAAGTAGAAAATGAATAAATCACTGAGTGGGAGAGAGAGAAGGTGCCCGGGGAGGGGGAAGGGGGAAGGGGAGGCTGCATATGCGTGTGTATGTATGGCGTGGATGGATGGATTGAGGGGAGGTGGCTGTCCGTCAGCTTGCCTCTGCAATGGCGTAAGCACATGGATGGATGGATGGCTCTCTTTCTTCTGCTGTCCCTCTCTCTCTCTCTCTCTGGTGTGCATACGTATAGGATTTCCCCCTCCCTCTCTGTGTGTGCCCATCCACAGCGTGACTCTGCATCCATCGCATGATGTGTCTGTCCATATGTGTGTGCGTGTGCGTGCAGAGACTGAGCGCATTCACGTGTTCATTAACCTTTGCCTGCCGTGGCAGACAGCAGACGCAAGAGAACCGCCTCTCGATCCATTCACCGCCGTGCAAAGAAGTGTCCATAATCACATAATCACCCCTTCCTGGTGTCACGCGATGGATGATATGACCTAATCCACACACGCATACACACACTTGTCTGTCTGTCTGTCTGTCTGTGGGCATGCGTCGACCAGGGCACTAATCCGTCTGCCGCAGGACACCAAACTACCACACCATCGGCTTGACCACGGCCATGAACCACCAAACAACACTTGACAAACACATCCACCACCCGTCCCCCGTCCACCCGCATGTAATTCATTAGCCCCATACTATGGGCCTGGAACAAAGAAGCACCACAACACAACACAAACACGGCATACCACCACCAACGACACACATCTCGTGACAGAAAGAAACAGAAAGAAACGATGATGGCACTAGCTAGCTGGTACTGCAGACTAATCACATGAAGAAGACAACGAGACAGACCAGTGAGGGCGTGTGTGTGTCCCCTTCCGCCACCCTCAATCAGTGGTGGTAGCTGTTGGAGCCTCCCCCAAAGTTGTGGTAGTCGTATATGCAGCACACGGGGGTCTTCTTGCCGGAGTGCTCGGCGTCGATGAAGGTCAGCTTGCCCTTGGCACACTTGTAGGCCACCTTCGAGTAGATGGGCTTGACGCACTTCTTGTCGGCCTCGAGCAGCTCGTAGCCATAAGGGCACTTGTACTTGTAGCTCAGCTTTTTGCTGGCGTAGCACTTGCTGCCGTCATCAGTCAGCTTATAGCCATACTTGCACTCGTAGTCGACGTCATAAGTCTTCTTGGCCACACACTTGCCGCCCTCGAGGTAGCCGTGCTTGCAGTAAGGCGACTTGGCTTCGTATTTCGTGGTCTTGCAGCCCTTGGGCGTCAACTTGAAGTGCTGGAGCAATGACAGGCACACACAGACGAGTGTGTGTGTGTGTGTGTGTGCGGAATCGTCCAGTGCCGTGTTGGCGATGTTGTCACTCGACTCACTCACTCACTCACCGCTGGGCAGTAGTACTTGAGGTCGGCATAGTCGTATTTGATGCACTTGTGCGTCTCGTCGTCGAACTTAAAGCCGTAGGGGCACTTGATCTTCTTGTCTTGATACTTGTCCGCCCAGCACTTGCTGTAGTCGCTCGTAAGGGAGTAGCCGGATGGGCACTTGTAGTCGGCCTCATAGTAGGCCTTCTTGACACACTTGCCGTCGTGCAGGGTGTATCCGGCCTTGCACTTGGGGTAGTAGGGTTTGTAGCTGTCGATCACCTTGACGCACTTGTGGCCCTCGAGGTAGCCGTGCTTGCAGTAGGGCACCTTCTCCTCGTGCGTCGTCGTTTTGCAGCCCTTTGGCGACTCATAAGAATGCTGCACACACGCACACACACACAAGAGAGGGAATGACACACGCCCATCTGTCTGTGTGGTGTGGTGTGGTGTGTTCACTCACTCACTCACCGCTGGGCAGTAGTACTCGAGGTCGGCATAGATGTACTTGAAGTACTTGTTCTTGTCGTTGGTCAGCTCGTAGCCGTAAGGGCACTTGTAGAGCTTGTCTTCATACTTGTCGGCGTAGCACTTGGCCTTGTCGGCTGTGAAGCCGTAGCCGTAAGGGCATTGGTACTCGACGGGGTAGTACTCGTAAACGAAGCACCTGTGGCCGTCGAGCTTGCCGTGTTTGCAGTAGGGTGTCTTCTCCTCATAGACGTACTTGACGCAGCCCGCGGCGGTCTTCTTGGTGCCCTGCACCCACAATCAATAAAGGGAATAAATCAACCAATCAATCGACCAGCACAACACTCAAGTGCTGGGTTCTGCTTGCGTCTGCGTACCTGAGGGCAGTAGTACTTGATGTCCTGGTAGTCGTATTTGACGCACTTGTGTGAGTCGGCGTCGAACTCAAATCCGTAAGGACACTCGTAGCGCACATCAGCCTTCTTCTCGCACACACCGTGAGTGGAGCCGTAACCGCCGTAACCGCTCTGGGCGACAGCTGCCGGCACACATGCCAGCAGCAGCAAGGCCGAAGCACACAGGGCAAAGACGGTCATAGTGACAGCTGAGGGCTGGCGGATGGCAGCCAAGCGGGGCGGTGACAAGACGATGAGTGCAGGGAAGTCGCTGTACTGGCTGTCTGTGGGTCAGGAAGAGGCTGGGTAAGTGTTTGTTTGCTGTGCTTGATGCCGGGTGGGGGAGGGGGCGAGTGATGAGGGCTGTTGGAGTGAGGCGGTGGCTCCTCTGCCTCGCCATGCTGTCCTTGGGGCTGATCTTTCGGGCTGAAGGACGCACTGACAGATGAGATGAGATAAGGGAGAGATCTCCCGTGCGAACTCCCCACCACCATCTGCCGTTCTTCTCCTCAAAAATGCTCGTAGCAGTGCGTGAGAAGCACTGAGGTAGCCATCTGGAGGCAGAAAGGCGGCGGGAAGCCTCGAGGGAAGCAACCTTGGATCCGATCGAGTCAATTGGATCGAGTGAGGATCGAGTTCCTGTTTTTCTCGGATCTGGCGAGTTCGTTTTGCGATTTTTTCGCACGATCCGGTCCTCGGTGCGACCGCACAGACGTGAGATGAAAGAATTATGAAAAAGGGGAAACAAGGATGTCGTGGTGAGAATTTGAGCTCGCAAATGATGGTCACATCCCTCAACCAGCCTCCCCAGCAGACACACTTAACAGCGGCATGTGGGCCCACTACAACAAACGGAAGGCCGACATGGGACGGCGTGGGCCTCCATTGGTTGTACCTCTCCCACACGCCGTGTGCCGGTGCGCGTCGGCCACACAATCAGACAGACGGACGGACGGACGGACAGACGGACAGAGGCAGGCTACTGTCAACAACGTCATTAGCTAACAGGGAAAATAGAGCCCTGTTGGCCTATGAAGGAAGCAAGCAAGGAAGCAATCAGACAGACAGACAGACAGACAAGGGCCTAATAACCGTCCATCCATCCATCCCCCGCCCACCAACGCTTATCGTCACAGAAAAACCTCTCAGTCGCACTCACTTACACACAACAGAAAAACCGCATCGACTCCGACTCAGGGAGAGAGCTACCAGTCAGTCATTCTTAAGATCAGCCGTCCATTCGCACCACCGCCCGGCCCTGTATCTTGCCATCGGCCAAGTCGGCGTAGGCCTCCTCCGACTGCTCAAGGGTGTACTCGCGGGAGATGAACCGGCTGACCTCCAAAGACCCGTTGGCCAGCAGCTTGAGAATCTCCGGCATGTCTTTCCGCGTCTTGGCACCGTACGACCCGTGAACCATGATCTTCCGACGCACCACCTGACACATCCAATCCAATTGTGTGTGTCCCTCGCCCTCCCTCCCTCCGTCCATCCATCCGTCTCGGCTCACATGTGTGATGGGCACAGAGGCCTTGTCCTTGACGTCTGCGATGCCGACCATGACGGCCTTGCCGCCGTCCTTGACGATGTTGATGGCCAGCTCAAATGTGGCGGGCTTGCCGATGGCCTCGAAGGAGACGTCCAGACCCCTTCCGTAGTCAGTCACACCACGGATGGCATCGCGCACCTCATCTGCTGAGGAGAAGGACCGCGAGTTGATCGTGTGCGTGGCGCCAAACACATCCCTGCATGTCGTGGAGGGAGAAAGGGGGGGGGGGGG